GGCTTTTTGGAAACAAATTCTTTTTCCAAAAAGACACCATTTCGAGAAACAAACACTTTTTGCGCTGTTTGGTTGTAGAAATAGTAGCCCCTTGTTTCTTTTGGATAACCCACAAAGAAACATTTATCGGATTTAGGTGCAAGCTTATCAGAATGTAAATGTTTTACATAAGCTTCACAACCCCAAATCTTAAGAAAAGACAACTTTGGGACTTTCCCAGTCCACATCTCATATGGTGTCTTCTCCATAGCTTTTGATGGACATCTATTTAGTATAAAAGCAGCAGTTTTGAGAGCATATCCCCAGAAGGATATCGAAAGATCAGCAAAACTCATCATGGAGCGTACCATATCTAATAGAGTACGATTCCTCCTTTCAGATACACCATTCAATTGTGGTGTGCCTGGAGGAGTTAGTTCGAAAATTATTCCACAACCCTTAAGATGATTATCAAACTCTTGACTCAAGTATTCACCACCACGATCAGATCGTAATGCCTTAACTTTCTTGCCAAGTTGATTTTCATCCTCATTCAAATACCGTAAGTGTTGTCAACTATTTTTATGATATATAAGCTCTCTTTTGTAATATGATGATGTCAAGGATATGGACACTAGGACTCTAGATTGTGATTGTCTGACAAGCTGCTTCAGCTAGGCCATCTTTATGTTAACCTAGTCTTGTCTCTGTTTTCTGGTGATGCTTGATTGTCTGGAAAGCAGTCAGAAGCTTGATGCTTGTATACTAGGAAAACCCTCTTATTACCTTTTTTTTTTTAATAAATCACTCATTGGAGAGGGGGTGAATTATTCTTTGAATTAGTGGGTCCTTGGGGTCACAATGATAACGACATGCTGAATGATTTCATCGGACTTGTATCAGTTATGGGAGAGATTTTAGCTACTATGATGGTAGAAAATCAAATGCATGATGCGTATAGTGTGCCAAATTGCCAACCCCTCTCACATATTGTGGGTCAAACCATCCAAGATGCTACCATTTGATGTCACGTTATACATTCTTCGAGGCTTGTCTACTGGTATAGAGGACTTTGATAAATTCATGAATGTTGAATCTTGCTTTGATATCTTCTGATAAGATCTTTCATGCTGATACTGCTAATTTTTGAAATCCCATTCATGACTTCGGCTTTTTCTCTGGTTAATTTATAAAAAAAGAATATAGTACAGCCTTTACTAAAAAGTGTTGCCCTCATAATAAAGAAGCTTGCTGTTTTGAGATTATGTGTCATATCTTGCTAATAGTTGCTATGTATCTTTGTATGACTTTGTAAAATTTGAAGTTTCTCAGGAGCTCCCTGTTATCCGTTTACTGTGCGTATTGTTGTTATCAACGAGAATTGAGTTAAATAGTGCTAAGAAAGTTCATGTTGGTTTCAGTGGAGCATGAAGTTTTGGAAAGAGAAATAGGCCGTCTTCGGGCTTTGTACCAACAGCAGCAGCTTCAGCCACATCAGCCACTTCAGCGGCCGTCATCTAGCCATAGACGTACAAATAGCAGAGATCTTGATTCGAAGTTTGCAAATCTCAATTTAAAGCATAAGGAGTGTAGTTCAGGGCCTGACTCCTTCAGTGGTCCAGTTGGTATTTGAACCTTGGGATTGTCAGAGGAATTTGTATGTGCTTTGTGTCCTTCAATCACTCATGCCAACCTTGGGATTGTCTTTTTTTTTTCAGTTTTTTAAAAATATTACAAGTTATTGAAGAAAATATATGTGTTTTATGTATATTATGATTATATATAAGTATTTGGTACAATTTAAGTGAAAAAAAATGCAAAAATTTTTATTTTTTTTTTATTTTTGGGGCATTTTTGGCACCGGTTTTGGACCAGAACCGGTGCTAAAAGGTTTTTTTTTATTTTTTTTTGGCCACTTTCTGCACCGGTTCAAAGCAAGAACCGGTGCTAAAGGTTTTTTTTTAAAATATTTTTGGGGACTTTTCGCACCGGTGTGAAATGGGGGTTTTGAACCGGTGCTGATTAGCAATTTTCGCCTAGTGTATGAATCCAACCTAAAAGAGATTGAACTCGCCCTAAATCGGCCTATACTTAATTCTTATGATATTCATGTGCGCTTTCCGATCAACATACATACAATAAATTGATCCTAAGCATATTTAATCTACGTTGGTTGATTATTAATGCACAATCAAATCCATTATTGGTGATCATTTGAACTAAAATTATATTAACCTAATCAAATTATTAATTATCTTATTAGGCGTGATTTCAAGTACAAATTCCTTTTAAACCTCCAAGAAGGGGCGTGATCAAGCAATAGCAATAAATAATCAAGCAACATAATAATTGACACAACAATCATCAACAAAATATTATTAGTAAGATCACAGGCATGATACTTAACAATCCTAGCATGTCACTAATAAAGATCAAAGCTTTAGCCTAAACATGATACTAGGAATCAACATTATATTAGAAAAGTTAATTAACACCCTAAACATGATACTAGAAATCAAAATCAACATCCTAACATGATACTAGGAATTAAAATAATATTCTAAGCATGATTTCTATCAAAAGAACAATTAAGTAATCGAATTACTTACTTTGATGTCTTATATCTTTTTCTATCAAAATAATACACACGTTAGTAAACTTCAAGAAAGATTAAATCCAATAAATAAATCAAATAAGAATTGAAATATAGATTTGGAGCCAAACCTTCAGAACTATCAACCTTTCACGTCGAGGTCGAAGGCAACTTCGAGATTGGCTGGGAGTATTCAAAGCTCGTGAGGGAGATATGGTGTTTGATTAGGGAAAAGTATCAAGGATGTGTTTAGGCTAAGGCTTAGAAAAGAATCAAGAAAGAGAGAAAGTATTAGAGAGGGGATTAGATGATGATTGTTGGTTCTTGATCAAGCTTGTTGATGATTAAAAACGGGGTAAAATGACCTCTATTTATAAGAAAAAAAGAGGGTCGAAGGATCAGAAAAGAGTCAGAAACCGACTCGGAGTAAAACTCTTCTCATTGCGGCGCGACGGGTCCATCGCGGCACGATAGTGCTGTCGCTCTGCGATGGTTTTGGAAAGATAGGATTCGTACGAAATCAGATTTCCAATTGGATTGGGTTAATCAAATTTTCGTACGTATTCTATTTTGACTGGGATTAGGATTATGGAAAAACAGATGTTTTATCCAATGTAAAATTCTTAAATCTTTATCTTTTCGAAAACAGGATAAATTAGAACCTTCTAGAGGATTCTAGAAGCTTACAATAAATCCTAATGAATTTAGGATTGAAAACAACTTTCTAGAAGATTCTAGAAGCTTGTAATAAATCCTAATTGGTTTAGGAATGAGGTTAAAGTTAATGGACTCTCCACATGATCATTGGGTCGCAGGTAAGGCTAGGTTCGGGCTCGGTTTAGTATTTTGGCCATAACTTCTTCATTATAAGTCGGATTTGGGCTTATAATTTATTGTTGGAAATCTCTTTTCAAACCCCATCCAACTACACAATAATTGGACCAGGATTATGGACCAAAATAGAATGGTTTAGACGTTTTTATAAAGAGGATACGAAATGAATGATTTTCAAAGAGACGAAATGAATGATTTTGGTTTATAACATTTAAGGAAAGGTTATAAATGGTCAAGGCTAAAGGGAAATTTATGAGACTCTTCAACTCTTCACCTAACTCGATAATCAAAGACGCGAAAGGTACTCATTGCTGGGTTTGGTTTTTGGGGAGGGCAGGTGTCTACACTACTGTTTGCCCAACTCCTCTATTGTGACGTCATAGTGGGTCCCACTCTTAAATTTCCCTCATTTTTCCTTTCTCTTCTCTCGGTTCTCACCTATGTTCTTCCTTCTTCTCTCCATGAGCCTGAAGCCCCTAACCCCACCTAAAATCGGCCAGCCGCCCCCTAACCCCACCTAAAACTAGCCGCCCCCTATAACCCCCTTAAACGGTCAATCGACCCCTCCCAACCCCCAAAACCATCTACAATCCTCTGCCACACTCCAGAAACGCGATTTCCCAACTTATATGCACCAGAAACGCTCTAATTTTCACGGCGAACATAACAATCAGCGGCAGATATCTTTCGGAGTACGTCAATTAGCAGACCAACAACGGTATCAGCACAGTTAGTGGAGAAAAATTCGGCGACATTAGTGACGAAAATGCAACAGTGGCGGAAAGTATCCTGTCGGTGTGTTGAGCAGCAAATTGGTGTTCGTTTGTTGCTGAAATTTGAGTTGTTGGTGGTGTAATTGGTGTGGTTGGTGATGTTGAGGGCGTAATTGTTGCGGTGGTGGAGAGAAGGTGCGTGACTGGATGTGTATGGTTGTTGGTGGAGTTGCGATGTAGGTTAGGGGTTGATGTGGTGTAGGGTACTGGTTTAGATGGTGGGGTGGATCGTGGCAGTGGTTTTGGGGGTTGGAAGGGCCGGCCGACCGTTTTCGAGGGGTTAGGGAGATGGTCGGCTGGTTTTCAGTGAGATGGGGTTTTTGCCTTGGGTTTCACGGTGTGGGGGGTGGTGGCTGTTAGGTTTTTGGTTTTTTTTCTTTTTTTTTTAAAAAAAAATTTAGACCAATCACGTGCTGACACGTAGCTTTTAAAAAACAAAAACAAAAATTTACCCCTTTAGCAGGTTACCGGTAATTAGGACCATTGAAAGCAAACTCATAGCATAATTGGGATTATTAGATCATAAACATTAGTTGGGATTATTAGAAGTAAATCGCCAATAGTTGAGATTATTAAAGTGTATTTTTCCTATAAAATAAAGGATATATCAACCAATAGGACTTAAAGAATAGTGATGGTCATTTTAAGGATGACTATAGTAAAAACATCCTATTATTATCATTTTATTATTATTTATTTTTTGGTAGAGGAAATTTTAGTTCTCAATACATCAGTCAAATTGACGTGGAAAAAAAAAATTAATAATAATAATTTGGAGTACTCCGTAATATTTTACTAGCTTAGGTATCCATGAAAAAGAATTCGAGAATATAATATCCTAATTATTAAATAGATAATACTACTTCGTACAACACAATGCTTGAAAAAAGTGACAATACATTACATCTTAAAGTACATACAAGTAACTAGCATGTACACAAAAAAGAAAAAGACGTAGATCAATTGCGTTAATCCACAATGAATAATACTAGTATATTTGTAAATGGCATGTTTTAAGTAAACTTGTGAGTACAAAGTAAATAGCCAGAGATGATAGAGGTAAAGGCAAAGGCAATGAAAGCAACGAAAGATACTCCAATTGACGCAGTTGCCATAGCAGGGAATTTGTCATTACCCCAGTTGGAAATCCAGTCATCCACTCGTGTAAAAGCCGAAGATGAGGCTGATAGTAGAAGATATGCCAATACCTGCCATTCATAAAACAAAACAAACAACATCAACTATATGAAATCTTTAATAAGGGTATCATTAAGGACTTAAGAATGTGGCAAAATTGTATAGTTGATCTTACAGATTTCTGAATTAAATTTATGTGAACACCTAACAGGTATCAAGATCATGTAGTAGTACATCGATCAAACGATGATGTAAATCTGACAAGGGGTTTCAATCTTAATAAAGCAATAGACCCCATGAAGCTAAATGATGCCATATTTAGGTATTTATTTTAGTTCAAAGAGGCTATGGGATTACCCCTTCTCTTGACGGTAGTTTATGATTTAAATTTCCAAACATAAATAATAAAAGGATTCAGCAAGGAGAGTATCCAACTCTTTCCAATCTGCCACTTGTGACAAAAAAGCAAAAAAAAGAGCAACTCTACTTGATTCCACGAGTAAGGTATTCGTTTGGTATTACGATTAGATATGTAAAACTTATCTTCCACCCCTACCCAATCTTAAAATGAAACAATCACAAGAGACCTATTTATGGTTTATAATGTAATGGTACTTCAAAAAGCAGAGAATTTAATATGACAAGAAATACTGACCATCTATATGGAAAACAAAAAGTAGAATAAGGGTGATAAAAAAGGCAATCCCAGCAGCACTAAAAATTCTTCAAAGCCAAGTAATCCTCTTGATCAAGTTAATCTTCCAAATTTTATAGCCAAGAAAAAGGCTTCCCGTTTCAGTATTTTGTGGGAGTATTACCTTTTCAGAGTATTTACACCAAGATGCATTCATGTAAGAACTGATACTGCATTTTATATTTGATAATATCCGAGGAGATACAAACAGGTTGAGAAAAATAGAATGTTTCCTAAGTTTAGGCATGCAGTATTCAGATTGGTTTGCAATCTTTACACCTGAAAAGTCTAAGAACCCGCTTAGGCTCATGAAATTTCATCATAATTTTGCTTGCAAAACTTGACCTAAGTATCCTAATTGAACTTCTTCCATATATATATATTTTCAGGCTTACTATGACTTTAAGCCTAAAATCAGACATCCCAAAAATTAATGCCAACATGGATAATTTGGGGGACAGGTGGTATTGTACTGGTGAGTAGTTGAGTACCAACTGAGTAGATACGAATGAAAATACAACCCTTACAAACCGCCAAATGCATAAGATTGTGTACACAAGGATAGTTTTTGTTGCACCTAACTACCTATAGAATCTTGCACTAGTTTTTTGGCTTACATAAAACATCTTAAATAATCTATGCCACTACTCTCATCAGAACCCTTCTGGTCAATATGAAAGCCTGGTATTCAGGATATAGCTAACATCTACTACCAATTGTTTCAATTGTAAACAGGAAGATGACAGGACATAAGCGAATCTAGGCAAATTTAATCCTTATAAGTTCTAGATTTGTATAGACTATAGAGTATACGCCAACACGAAAGTAAGAAAACCCAATTGTCATTAACTAGACATTCACTTAATTGATCAGATTTGCACTTCAGATAGATAGTCACATAAACTTTGACATTCTTATATATCTACTTCAAATTGGAATAGAAGAGGATGCGTATGTAAACACCCGATAGCATAAAGTAGGCTTACAAGTTAACTTCGGAATTATTGACCTTCAGCTTATCATTGAGGCACAACCGCACAAACCTCAATTATTAAGACAAATATAAAAGAGGCAATTTTTAGAAGTGGGTGAACATTATATAATCCAGTCAAGAACATAATTCCAAAAATTGAAAGCTTTCTTCCCAAAAATTAAATGATTCCGAAAATTGTAAACACAACTCACCTGATCACCGGCAAAATCGAAAGCATACCGAACTTGGCTCCTAGAATCCTTTCCTGTAGTCAATTGGAGAAGCAGATCAAGTCCTTGCAAACCAGAGTAAGCAAAGCCGATTACATTTACTGACATCGCGTACCTGTACACCGTCACATACAAATTACTCCCAATTCATATAGTTTTAAGTTCTAATATGTAACAACAAGAGCCTATATACAAGTATCAGTACTCATCATCATAAGTCAGATAAATAAAATCACCATTGGTAAGAACTCAATACCAAGTTCAAAATGTTACAGTATATCGGAGTTATATTACCATCATAATCGAAATTAAAATATGTCTAGCAAATTCAATAACCATAGTCGATAACAACCAAACAGATAAAAAAAATTGACCTGAATTCGATGTAACGATCAAAAGAGTCAAGAGCCCAGCCGCGATTCTTATCAGCAGCCATGACAGAGAAAGAAACCAAACAAAAAACAAATTCAAAAAAACCGCAACACCAAACCCGCTCTTTTAACCAGCTTCCCATTCTTAGCCCTCTTTGAAACAGGCAGTTGTTGTCTGTTAGCTGTGCTAATCTTTTCACTAGCGAACCCGGTCCCGGCTTCGGGTTCAGTCTTGGTTACCCTCTCAGGTGGGTCACGGGCTAGCCGGCTGGCCCCTTGAACCGGAACTAGAGACTGAACCTGGGCCGGGGGCAAAGCCGGGATGGGGTGTAGAGATGGAGAAGGGGAAGTGAAGGTTTCTTTGGTGGGTGAGAGAGCGTGGGAAGTGTGGTCAGAGTCAATGGAAGAGATAGAAGAGGTGGGTGAATGAGCGGCCGGAGAAGTGGTGGGGAGATGGTGGGAGGAGAGAGAAGTGGAAGATGAAGATTCCATTTGATTTTTTATGGATTGTTTTGGGTTTAAGTGTGAATATGGTTTTGTTGTTTGTTGTTGAATTGCATCTTCTTCTTGTTCTTGTATTTGAACCATTAAAGAGACTAATAGTTGAAGAAGAAATGGAGAAGTGTAGTCAGAAAGGTGAGTGGGGACTGCTAACTGTGCTAAGGGTTTAACTCTACTCTCTACTGTAGCCCTGTTCCGATTTATTGAAAACAAATGAACTGATTTGAGCTAAACTGAATTAAAATGAAATATTTGACTATGGATTACTAATTTTTAACTATGTATTAGTAATGATATTAATTTACTAATAATTATGAAAAATAAAATGAAGTTTAAAATTAATCCACTAATAGTTTTTTTTTGTTTGTTTGTTTAAATTTTTTTATTTTCATGTTAATTAATGCCTGTAAAATTAATCTATTGTAATAGTTTGGCTGTTAAAAAATGAAACAAAAAAAAATAAAAAATTAAAAACCGAAGAAAATATCCAAAAATAAAAAATGAAAAAAAGGAAACAAAGACCCAAAACTATGCACTTCCATTATTATTATTATTATTATTATTATTATTATTATTATTATTATTATTATTATTATTATTATCATCATCATCATCATCATCATCGTCGTTGTTGTTGTAATATATACTAAAAAGTATGAAATTTGACTTAAATTATCATTAGGAATATCATTAGACATAAAGATGAATTTAAAAAGATCGGCCCAAAGGCATGCCTAAATTAAATTGTCACTAACAATATCATTAGCTAAATCATATAAAACAAATAAATTAGCAAAAGAAATGAATTGAACTGATTGGAGCTGAGTTGAAATGAATTGAATTGAACTAATTGGAGCTGGACTGAACTGAAATTAAGCTCAACAGAATAGGCCCTTTGAGTTGTAAGAAATGGCTCGAGGTTGAGGGAGGTTGACGGAGGAAAATGGTATGATAAGTCACTTTAAGACCATTTTTTTTTATTTATCTACTCCATTTATTTTTTTTAAGTGTCCTATTGGGAATTTTGGTACTATTCATTCAATATATTTAAATTAATGTTTGTGAACTATATACATAAAAAAATATATGTATAATCTTGTGAATACTTGTTGTAATCGTCTCAAAGAGTAGATTATTGCTATTCAATTGTTATAATTTATTGTTGGTGGTAATTAAAGATATTATTGATTAAAATTTTACATCGACATGCGTGAAATGTCACTATTTTTTTTTATTTTTTTTTTTAAGAATATAGCTCAGGCATTTTATTAAACTAGATTAATTTCCGTCAAAGTTAACGAACTTGAGGGAAAATACCAATACAAATATACTTTGAGTTGGGGAAAGTACCAATACAAACATACTAGTTACTACCGGTATCCTACCTTGCTACGGAGTGAGCTACGGTATTACAAGCTTGTTTAATATGATTAAAAGATAAATTAACAAAGGATAAGCTATCTAAATTCACATCATTATAGACAATGAAAATAGGAGAACTGTTGCCATTGTTCTTTATAGCATTTACCGCAGTCGAAGCATCACATTCCACTACCACATTCTGGTACCCCAATCTCAATGCAACATGTAATCCATACCTTACTGCAAGAGCTTCAACATGCTCAAGTGATTCAGCCTGCGTCCTCTTTGTTGCGCATACCAACAACAGCCCGTTAGAATCTCTTAACACATACAACCCCAAGCCCCGTCGTTAACCGGCCTCCACAAAATAGGCATCAGTAATCCAAGTGTTTGGGACTTAAGTAGCTGCTGCAGGCATCCCTCCCCTCACAAACATACACCTTCTTTTAGGGGCAATTCTCTGTTTCTCATTGTGAGAAACAAGTTTTGTTTCTCATGGGGTATGTGTCAAGATCTGGGGCTTCCACTCATGACACATACGCGGTCCCCATCAGTGAAAAACATCATGTTATTTTCCAAAATGCCATTAAGAGAAACAAAAGTGTCTCTCATAATGAGGAAGTGGGACTCCCTCTTCTTTTAGTACGTAACTTTGATATTCCTTCACCATACTTACATACCCAGTTGCCATCCCAATTACATCCGGCCTTGCATTCTCGAAGAAAAAATTGTTTTTATAAGACCATGTTGCTCACATTATAGAAGCCACTATACGCTACTTAATTAGGAGCCTTGAACTTGTTCACCAGCCACACCCATCTATCAGCAAGAGAAACATTCAGTGCAACTAGAAACCACGCATTATGTTGCCACATAACAGATGTTGCATAGCACTATGATTGACTCTACAGCAGCTCCGCAGATTGGACAGGTTGTGTCATAAGTAATGTGGCGTTGGTGTAGTCTTTCTTTGACTGCTAAGCTACCCTTGCAAGCTCTCCAGATAAAGTGCCTCAATTTGGGGGGTCCATCGATGCTCCTAATCCCTCTCATATATCTATCTACATTCGCCATTTGATCCGCTATTTCATTCGACTCCAGCATGCCCAATCTTGCAAACCAATACCCCGATTTGACAGTGTAATTAACATCTTTTGATAATCGCCAATGCAACTTGTCTTTCGCCCATCTTCGAGATAATTAAAGGGGTTGCAAGAATAATGCGAGCCTCCTCTTCATTAAAGGTATTAGCAACCTTTACTACATACCATTCCCAACCCTCAAAATCTATTAAATCAGAAGCTTGCAAATCCACACTACTCACCTATAAAGGAGATGGACGAACCGCCCGACCTTCCTTCACCAGCCACGCATCAGTCCATGGGTTGGGTAGACACCTAAAAATGTCTCCCCGTACCAAAATCCTATGATGAGTAAAATCTTTCATCGTCATTTGGTTCGAGTAGAGTATTGATAGAAAGGAACACTCGAGTCTTGCTTAGGAATCCATTTCATTTAAGCTTTTTTAGCCATTTTAATAATCCAAACACTTTTCTTAGCCCAAAATCCACATATCTTAGCCCAAATTTCCCTTTTTGAAACTGCAATCCCAAAACCGAGAATATCTTAATTTTGTTCTTCATAAAAATCATGTATGGTGGTATATCCCTTGAAATGAGCTTTTCAATGATATATCATAAGCCCAATTCTAAGTTATAACGCAAAAGATATGTACAAAATACCAAACTCGATTCAAAACCGACACCTTTGCTCTATTTTGACCTTATCTTTAATCTAAAAAAGATATTGACTTGATTCTAATTGGGTTGGAAAGTAGATTTCCTAAGCTTTCCAACAATATATTATTAGCCTTAATCCAACTTGGGATAAAAAATTATGATAAAAACAAATGCCGGGAGTCCAGGTGGCGCCAACCTACGTCCGTGGTATAAACCATTTATCTTACTCTAATTATCTTATTAGGATTTGTTAGATCTATCTAAGCAAATGCTTATCCTTTTTGAAATTTTCTAATGGATTTGTTGAATATAACTCTTCATATAATTTTTCTTGTTGCTTAATTATTTGATCAATCAATGATGAAATACACTCGGAAATTCTAAGTGCTACCTCTCGTTATATAGGAGTAATCCTATTACCACGCCGGTTGTGCATAAATTCGATAGTTTGATGAGTATATGCTTTTGTTATTTTCTAAATAGGAAAAGATGACTATTAATAGTGAAGATAATTTCATCAAAAGATTGAGTGCATGGAGAATATAACCTTTGAAAATTGTTTAATTTCCTATTAATATCATGACTAGGCTGATCTAGTTGCCCAAATGAATACTACGTTGAACTCCTCCAGCACTAGTAGAAAAAAAGAAATAAGCAACCCCCCTATGGCAACGGTTCATGAAAACCGTTGCCAAATTAAGTGAGCGCCATTTTTTTTTAAAAAAAAAAAAAAATTGGTTACATTTGGCAACGGTTAACCGTTGCCAATTGATTAAATTTAAAAAAAAATAAAAAAATAAAAGGGGTAGAGTTGGCAACGGTTAACCGTTGCCAATTTAAAAAAAACCCGGGTTTTTGAATACTACTGTATACTCCCTCGTTCAAGCAAACGTTCTTCTTCTCTCAACTCTGTTTTTGCTTTCACCTCCAAAAACGCGCGCCTTCCCTCAGCTCACCCCAAACCATTCCTCCATTGAAGGGTCCATTGAAGCTTTTGCCTCCTCACGCACGCAGTAGTGGGTCTGGGTTTGTTCTTCTGCCTCCTCACGCACGCACTCAGCTCTTCTCTTCTGCCTCCCTCCATATATGCTTGCATTATTGAAGTATGTAGCAGCTCCTCCATTGTTATAGCGCTCCTCATTGCTAGGTAAGTCGTAATAGCGCTCCTCCATTGTTATGGTTTTTGAGGAATTGGTCTTTAAATTAGTTAATATTGACAAGTTTCTTGTAATTGCTAGGGTTTGTCAATAATTGCTACTTAACTCCTCCATTTATACGCGCAAGGCTCAGCTCCCCCTCCATTGAACGCATAAAGCTCCCCCTCCACAAATGTAAGGCCTTTTTTAGTTGTTATTGTTGCTGTTTATAAGTTTAGAATTGTATTTAGTACAAGCTATATTTACCTATATTTCTAAATTGTTATGAGAACTTTATTTATCATCACTAATAAAGTTGAGAATTTTATTTTGTTTATAGGATAATTTAGTCCTTTTTATTTAAGAGAACAAAGTTGAGAGTTTAGGGTTTAGGGTTTAGGGTTTGAATATACTCTTCTTTATGAGTTGCTTCTCACTATATATATGCGTGTTTCAGGCTAAGAAATGGGTGTCAAGGGCTTCTAGGGTAAGATCATCAGTTTGGAGAGTGGGCGAAAAAAATCCTGGTATCTTACTCTGACTGTCCTTGTTCTTGCTCACTGATATCATTCTTATCTTTTCCCTTAATCTGGTTTTCTATTTGTGTTCTATATAGGTTACACTGAAAAATATTATCAGGAATTTTTGGGCGAAGCATAGACCTTGGCATTGACCTTCTATTTGAGAGTGTTGAGCCTTTATAGGTACTCAAGTATATATATATATAACTTTATGTGCTTTAAATAAGTTCTTGGTTGCACATTTTTGTGGAGATGGTGTGTGATATAACTTTAGTGCATCTTCTATCATGATGTGTGATTAATCCATTGTTTTTTAATTGATTGCATGTATCATCATATGCCTAGATACCCGTTCAAGGCTTTCTCATTAGGAAAAAGTCTTGAATAGTCCCCGGTTGGGACTGTTCTTGAACGTTTACTCTCACTTAGGTGGTGAATGTATGTCAATTTTTTCGATTTTAAGGAACATCTTGGCTTAGCATTTCCTC